GCGATCGTCTTCATGTGGGAAAGTCTGCTTTTTGCTAGACCTCCCTCTTGAATCCTTCCTATGTTGCTCTCTGCAACAAGCCTTTCCTGACCCTCACCTATAAATGCCTTGATTGAAACCACTGGTGCCAGGTGTGGTGGTACACTCCTGTAATCCCAGTACCTGAGAGGCCTAAGCAGGAGGATGAAGAGTTCAAGTCCACACCTTTAATCCCAGCACTCAGGGAGGCAGAGGCAGGCAGATCGATGTGAGTTGGAGGCCAGCCTGGTCTACAAAGCGAGTCCAGGACAGCCAAGGCTACACAGAGAAACCCTGTCTCAAAAACAAAACAAAACAAGAGTTCAGGTCCAGCCTGGACTACTGTAATGAGAGCCTGACTCACAGCAAACAAAAGTCATCACGAACCACCTCTGCTTTAGCTACACAGCAGTGCCCGCAATCTAGATTTATGTATTTGTGGCACCATGCTCATCTCCCACCATGTAAATTCCGTGAGAGCAAAGACTACTCTCCTTAAGCCTGATGCTCTTACAGTAAGTGAAGTGCCTGGCCAACAGTTAGGGTTTGAAAGCCTTTCTAAAAAAAAACAATGAGTATAGGGAGAAGGGAGTTGAGGACAAAAGATAGTAAAGGAAGTTGAATGTGATGGATTATGCCTGAAATCTCAGCACTCGGGAGGCTGAGGCAGGAGACTTGCTCTGCATTCTAGGCTAGTCTGGGCTTCAGGATAAGACCACATCTCAACAAACAAAAGCAGAAGGTGAGGCTGTGAATGGGACACCAAGGTACAGCAAGGAGGCTCTCTGCGTCAGCCTGAGAAGACTTCCAGGGCTTCTGGGAGCATTCTGTCTTGGGGCCATGATACTCTGGAGGTCTGAAGACAGGGCAGGTGGGCGGAGCTAGCCTTATCTCAGAGCGCAGCCCCAGCTAGCCTCCGATGTTGACAGCTGGAGCTAGCAGGGGTTTTGCAAACCTTCCCAGTTGCAGAAGGCCAGCAGTCTGTGGGACAGGTGGGTGGGGCCCGAGCTTATCTCCCAAGTACAGTCCTAACCTCAGACGGTAACAAAGGGGGAGCTAGTGGGAGTTTTGCAAACCGTCCCGATTGCAGCAGGGCTGGATGGCCCGGCCAGGGTGACCATGCCACTAGGTGTTGGGGGGTGGGGAGGATGACAGGGTATTGAGTTTGAGCCTTTTGGATGAGGCGTAGCTTTCAGGGCTCTGGGGTGGAGCATGCTCTATTTAGCTTGCTGTAGGAGGCCACAGCTCTGTGGGGGTGGAGGGGAAGCTCTTTTCCTGCAAGCAAGGCCTTCCCTTAAGGACACAGGAGCCTTCCTTGCTCCCTCGAGTCACAACTGATGGCCATTTTGATGAAGGTTGCCCGTTTTCCTGTGAAGACACCCCCCTCCTCTCTCCACGGAGAGAATCTCTCACCTGCCATTGGTTTTCTGAGGTCAGCCTAGGTTGTACTGTCCAGGTCAGACCACTTTCCCTAGGGAGGAGGAGTTGTCCTTCTCGGGGACTGGAGAAGGAAGGTCCAAGGGGAGCATGCAGCTTCTCTGCCCTGCTGTCTCATCCTTCTATTCCAGAGTCTTCTCACAGGCTTGGAGTAGGGCAAGGGGGAGAGCGAGGTGAGAGGCCTCTTTCCACCACAGCCCCAACCGGGATCTTGCAACACTGGGATGGGGGCCCTGGGGGCCCTGGGGGTGAGGCAATCTTGGGGGTTGGGAGGTGTGAACCGAGGGGGGCAGCTTTCACAAGCACCGGCTGGCTGACCTTGGCAGACTCACCTTGGGCAGCTTCCTCTCTCCTGGTATCTTAGTATCTCTCCACAACCTTCCTCCTCACAGGCCTCTCTGCAGCCCGAGAGCAATTCGCAGTTCAGGGCGCTTGTCCTTTACCTCAGTTCTGCTCCAGGAGGAAGAGGGACTTGTGAACAAGAGGAATGGATGCAGCTGCCGGTGGGGAAGGCTCTGTTTGCTGGTTTCCACAGGTTCTCAACCCCTGGTCTTGGAGCCCTTCCAAACCCTGGCAGGGCTTGGCCAACTTCCCCTCCCTCCTCTCCTCCTGCTGCGTCCTTTCCCTGTGGACAGCCCTGAGAGGTCATTCTCAGGGCAGAGATCAACCAGCTTGCCTCCCAGCTCCAGCGTCAGGGCAGAGCGATCAGCACCAGAGCTGTTTGCCAGCTCTTCTCTGTAGAGGATATATTTCATGGACTACCCAAGTTTGTCCTTTCAGGCCATCCAGCGGTACTTGGAACCTGCCATTTGCATGGCTCTTGCCTGTGCCCACACTGGACTCCAAGGCATGCTAACCTCCTCAAAGGTTTCTTTAAGTTTCAACTTAAACTTAAATGTCACTTCCTCCAGGAGGCCTTTAATTCTCCTAGCTGAAACAGTATCTGTTTGTTAACTGATTTCCCCACAGGCACATTCAAGTGGGATAATGAGAATGAAAAGTACTTCATAGAGGTGTGCGAGGAGAGTCTTAGCAAGCCATGCTGGTAAGACTGGCAGGTGCTGGGGCTCCAATAGCAGGGGAGTCAATGTTCACCCTTGGGTCCTAAGGAGTGCTGAAAGGGGCCAGCAGGGGCGTTCTGCCTCCCTCTCCTCTAGCTCTCCCTCTCACACCAGTGTCCTCACCTCTAGGGGATGAAGGAAGGCAGCCCCAGAGAGCAGAGCAGCCTAAGAAGGGGCAGAGAATGGTGGCAAGGGCCATGGCGGGGAGGGGCTTGCTTATTTCTTTTTCCCTCCTACTCCTGTGGCTGAGAAAGGGTCTCCTTCTCGGGAAGGATGCTTGACAGTGCTTGTTGAGTAAATTGCTTTGGCTAAAGCCAGCTGCTGTGGGACTGAGAGCCTCCTGCAGGTGGCCGGAATCCCAGGACAGAATGGGACAGTAAAGAGTGGGGTGCGTTTTGCCTGCTCCTCGTCAATCATGTCTCATTGGGGTCTCACTGGGGTGGCAGCTCTTCTTCAGCTTCGGCGCCAATCAGAAAGACTCCTCTCAGTCACTCTGAGGAGTGACAGGTCACTGGGGGGGGGGGGGCTGGAGGGAGACTCAGCTCAGAGCCCTGGGAAAGAAGCCTGGGCAAAGCAGACCCCAGCATCTAATGCCTTCAAAAGGAGTCTGGGGTGGGTGGGGAGACCGTAAGCCCGAGCCACCAGCCGAGTTCTGTGCCAACCCCTCTTGTGCATCTCCGAGCCCCCAGGTTGAAGGTGAGAGGGTTTTCCCAGGTGCCGTAGAGATGGCTGCCTTCACCTCCTCCTCAAGCAGTGTCAGTCAGTCCCTCCACCCAAAGGTTCAAGTCTGCCCTGATCGGAGCTGGGCTGAGGACCTGAGGACACTGGGGGGGAAGAAAGGGTGCTGAGACACAGAGGTAAAAGTGGGGAGAGTTCTGGCCGAGGTTAGCCTGGTGCACACAAGATGCCGGGGCCATGTGAGAACTTCTGCCACTGAGGTCTGAGGTGGCAGGAGAAACAGACCTGTGGTGATCCTTAGACAACACACACACACACACACACACACACACACACACACACACACTGTCCCGTCTCTAACATCGCGGGCAATTCACTAATACTTTTTTGTTTTGTGGTGCCAGGGATGGGACCTAGGGTCTTGGGAATACTGGGCAAGCACTCTGCCAGCTCAACTCACTGCCTCCATGATTATCCCTTGGCGGTTGCTTGTGTGCCTAATCACTGCTGTTCTTCCCTGAGGGAGGATGTAGAGCGAGGCAGCAGAGGACGGACTGCACTCTTATCCTCTTCGGCCCTGCCTGCTTTATCTACAAGATGTGGCTCACACTATCTTACTTGTCTGAGGGCAAAGCTCACCCAGATGAGCTCTTGAGGTCTCTCCTAGAACCTCTCGAGATCTGTGATTTCATGGAGCTACTTTTGATTCTGCCCCTAAGTAGCTGTGTGGCTCTGGATGGTCTCTTCCTCTCTCTGAGGCCCCTAGCTCCTCACCTGCAAAATGAGAACTTTTTTTTTCTTTCCCAAAATGGATCCAGAACAAATATCCATTCTCACACCACCTATCAAACTCTATTTCTCTATGAAAATAACACCATGGGACAGGCACTCAGATCCCTCCTGTACAGATAAGGAGACAGTAAGTGGCAGAGATGCAAACAGATGCTCTGTTACTGTGCACTGTTTTGCTTCCTGGGCTGCAGTTCTAAGGGACAGAAAACGCCTGGAGCATGGGGTTTCACAGGCACAGACGGAGCTGTCACCCTTACATAGGCGCACACATCGGGTCCTAACTGATTCCTCCTCAGGGGGTCACCTTCTCCAATCTTAGGGAGCCAATGCCCTAGGGGATGAAGGATGAAGATAGGAGTGAGGCTGTGAAACAAGAGAGAAAAAGCCAGGGTGCTGGATCAAGAGCTAAGGGACCACAGATCCGGCAGAGCCATTAGACTCTTTCCCGTGGTCACCTGGGAAAAGAGTTCCCAGGCCTTAGAGTCAGAGGGTAGGCCAAGGGTCATCGGGCCTGGCCCTGGAGCTGTAGCTGTGTCTCACTGGAATCACGCCCTAGAATTCTCTCAGGTCAGAATTGCAGCGGCTGCTCCGGGCCCTGGCATGCATAGTGGTTGGGTACCAAGTGTTTGTTCAGTTTACAAAGGGCCAACTGTGTAGGTGGAAGGACCAGGAGGTGAAGTGGCAGAAAACCTGAGCCGTGGGCGGCGTGTCGCTGCCTCTCCGTGTCGTTTAGAGACTATGTGGACCTAGCCACAGGTACTCCCTGCCATCGAGGTCTTCCGTGAGCACACACACAACACCCCCACCAGGCCCAGGCCCCAAACACCCAGCGAACAGCTCCAGCATCAAGTCACAGTGCGGTTTATTCAGCCACAGAATCATTCTAGTCCCGACCGTCCCAGCTACTGGCTGCCATTGTCTTATGATTTCGGTTTCAGGTTCGGGACTCTGGGGACCTAGGAGGGTGGAGGTGGGGGTCCTCAGGGTCTGGGGCCCACAGTCTGCCAGGCCGGCTCAGCTGCAGCCGCCCACACTCTTGATGAGGCTGGCGGCCTCGGGGATCTGTCGGAAGAGGTTGCGCAGAGTGTCCAGCTCCTGGGTGAGCTGCTCCACGCGGCTGCGCAGTCGCTCGTTTTCAGCCATGTACTCCAGCACCTTCTGCTGCGTCTCCATGATGCGCCGCTTGGCCTTGTCCCGGCTCTTGCGCACCGCGATGTTGTTGCGCTCGCGCCGCAGCCTGTACTCCAGGCTGTCTTTGTTCACCGCCTTCTTGCCCTTGTGAGAGGGGCCCGCTGGCGAGGGGGCCTTGAGAAGCGGGCTGCACGGAGGGGCAGCCGCCGCCACCGGGGCCTGCAGGGTAAGCCAGAGAGAGGGACGGAGAGGCGAGGCTCTACCGGAATCCTGGCAGCAAGGGCACACTGGGGGCCTCAGAGGAACACAGAGCTCCCAGGCAGCTCCCACCTCTGGGCCATCACCCTGTCTCTGGGAAAGACGGGAAGGCAGACGCACACGATCCTTGATCTGAGACCAAAGCTTTCTTTCACGATCTCACACCCTTGGAGGACACTTCCCTTTGGTTTGTCCGTCACAGGTCTCCTGTTCTACAGTTCTACAGAAACAGGCAGCAGAGGAGCAAGAGAAAGGGGACAGTGGACAAGCAGGGAAGCTGGTCCCCGAGAGATCAGGACAGAGCAGCCTCTCCAGGCGCCTTCAGGACACGCGGAGTTCAGAGAAAGCGAATTCACAGAGTGAGGGAAGAGGGCCTTGGGGTGGGCCGTGTTCTCGGAAGAGCACCAAACCCAGACTTGTTGGGGAAGCTCATCCAACCGCCTGGCTCCAACCCGGGGAGGAAACAGGGAGAGCCGCCCTGGCCTTACCTTGAGGACGCGCAGGGGCTGGCCAGGCGCCGCCAGGCTCGGCGGGAGGTGCATGGCAGTCTGTCCACAGTGTGCCACTTGGTACTGCAGGGGGTTGTAGCTGCCACGGCCGGGGCCTCGGTTGCCCTCTGGCCCACGAGGCTCCTCCTTCACTGTCACAGCCCTGGGGTCGTAGCTTCCCGGGCTGCTGTAGATGCCAGGCCCCAGAGCCTTCCTATCTGGGCCAAAGGTGTGTGAGGGGTAGGCAAATGGCCGAGGGTCAGCCGGCAGGTAGTGGGGGAGCGGAGGGTTTCCTGGGCCCTTGAGGCTTCGGGCGTCGGGCGCTGGCTTCATGGCAAAGAGGTCAGAAAGGAGCTGTTCTTCTCCAGACTCGATGTAGGCGGAAAGGTCGATGGAGGCCTCATGCTCGCACATGTCCCCCAGCTCGCCGGGTCCAGATCGACCCCCTGAGAACTCGAGTGGCTGCTGGCCACCCCGAGGCTCACACTCATAGTAGGTCCCGTGGGACATGGCCGGCCCGCCCCCTTGGCTCCCCGCCCCTGGGTCCTGTGCTGGGGCGCTCCTTAGGATGCTGAGCCTGCCCTCCCTTGATCTCCCCTTGTCCTAGATTTGTCCTAGGTCAGCCCTCTCTGGTCTTCTCTGTCACCCGCTCTCTCCTACGTGGCTTCTCTGGTCCTCCTCTGCTTCCTTTTCCTTCTGTAGTCAGTGCCTCTCCTTTCTTCCCTTTTCCCCTCTCTCCTTGGTGTGACTCAGGGAGGGGCAGGGCACACCCCAGAGGGAGGAGTGCTTAGCAGTTAGGGTGCTCTTTGCTGAGGCCCTAGCCACAGTCCCAAAACTGCTGTTTGGGAAAAATGGTCCCTCTTGTCTTGTGAGCTCAAGGGATTCTAACCCCTTGCCCAGAGTACTTTCTCTGAATGTCTGTCTTCCTCCAGCTTCAAAACAGATCTCTGCAGAATGAGGTGCCAAGCCAGTGCCAACAGAGAAAGCATGTGTCCAGTGCCAACCTGGTCTAAACTCCTCCCTTGAAAAATCTTCCTCTCTGTTACCCCCCCCAAGTCCTGAACTCCACCTAGCCTGGGGTAAGTCAGTTCCTTCTGTATAGCCCCACCTTCCACAACTTTCTCCTGGGTGTAGGCCATCATTTTTTGAAGGGCTTGGGAAGTTCTAGGACCGAGTCACCCTAGTTTTGAGACAGGGTCTTAGGGTCTTACTATGTAGATCAGGCTGGGCTTGAACTCACAGAGTTCTGCCTGCCTTTGCCCCCAGAGTGCTGCTAATAAGGTTCTTTGGCTAAGTCTTTGCACAGGGCTGGTGTCCATGTTTCCAGTCCCGGCCACATCTGGCAGCCTGGGCACAATCCTGGGCTACCTGGACATAGCTAAGGTTTCTGGTCAAGACATAGACCCTGTACCTCAGGCCCAGGCAGGCTGCTGCCCCAGAACCAACAGACAGGATCCGCTTGGAGGCCCCACTTGCTCCACCCTGAAAGAGGTTCAGGCTGACCCCACCCCACGCTGGCTGGAGGCTCTGCCTCCTACTTCCTGTGCCCTGAGCTGCAAACAGGCTCCGGAGCTCACTGCAGCTTAATCTGCTGTCCTCCCTCATGCATGACTGTTTTCTGACCTCTAGTGTACTACTCTGTCCACTTCCTCTTGTAGGCTTGAGAAGTCTCCTCTCTTGTCCTCACCTCTTCCTGGGGCTGTGTCAGGGTCCACAGGAGAAGCCCGCAGCTGCCTGACTGCACTTCTCCATCTTCTGCTAACCCCAAAACTTCACTTTTCTTCTTCCTTTGGGGACTCCCCACTCCCTCCAGTCTTCCGTGGCCCTGCTTTTACTTGTCAAGCTTCAGGCAGGGCTCCTGGTTTGGTGGTAAGAAAAGAGCACAGAGAAATGTATTACACAGAGAGATGTATTACTTTTCTTTTAAGGTTGAGTATCTCTGTTATCCTAGGCTGGCCTTGAACTCGCTTCAGCCTCCCTAGAGCTGAGTTGATAGGTGCCATCATACCCTCCTGGCTCTTTTATTACTAACAGATGTTCTGGGGAGAGGAACAGAATTTTTAAAAATGAACTTAATTTTATTATTCGTGTGTGTGTGTGTGTGTGTGTGTGTGTGTGTCCACGTGAGCCAGAGATATCAGATCTTCTGGAGCTGGCAGTCCTGAGGCACCCACTAAGGGTGCTTGGAGCCAAACTCGGGTCCTCTGGAAGAGCAGTAAGGGGACATCTACTGAGACATCTCTCCAGCCCTAAGGACCAGAACATATTCTAAGTTGGGTATTCCAAGGACCAGGTAACTGTGAGGGGCCACAGTCGGGGTAAGCTTGGATAGGATGTGTAAGTCATGGAACACTAAAATAAAACCGTGAATGTCATTTGCCCACAAGTCAGACAAGGTATCCTTGATAGAATCCTCCACCCCATCCATCCCCTCTAACACCACAACCTGCCCCACGTGCTCTGAGCCTGAAGTATGGCCAAATGTACTTTCTCCAGAGGCCCTGGCCAAGGAGGGGGAGAGCCGCCCACATCTTAGACACAGGGCACTGGAAGTAGCGGGCGATTGCTGCTCTTCGGTCTTCGGATCCCTGTCAAATTGGTACCAAAGCTGGGAGATTTCAGTTTGGCCACCTGCCCTTATTGGCCACTAGGTGACGACATTGGTTCCCAAATCCTATACTTGGGGGCCCACGATGGTTTGGAATCGAGTGGACAGCAGGGGGCAGCCTTTCTTAACTCTGCCACCAGCGCTGACAGCTCTGCTCTGGGAAGCAGGAAAAGGAAATGCAGTCACGTTGGAGATTCTCCGTCAAGTCGATAGGGTGGGAAGCCTACGGGACTGGTGCCGGGACCTGTCTCAAAGAGAAATTCTGTCCCCACCTTGACTGTGGAATAACAATAATGTGTGGGCCCTGTGTCATCTGAGAAAGTAATGCTTTTTTTTTTTTTTTTTTTTCAGTCGATGAAACTGTGTACTTTTTCATGCTATTTTGCTGTGAGCTAAGAAGGGGGCTGGGGAGCACAGCAGTATTGTTAATCCTAATTTTATCGGCACGGAAATTAAGGAGAGGATGAGCTGTAGAAGAGCACCAGAGGATGTCTTGTTGATCTCTGAAAGGGCTGCAGGCTTGCTCTTGAAATGGCCCTGGGGATGGAGGGATGGAGTAGTTGTTGCCGAGTGACTCAGGGAATCTCCTTCCACCTAGCTGGCTGCCCCGTGGGTAGGGGTGAGAGCTGCAGGGCAGCGCTGAATTCCCTGAGGAAGGCGCACAGATAAAGCCAGCAGGAAATGAGGTCTGCAGGCTGACAGCGTTTCCTAGTAACTGAGACGTAAGTATTAGGGGGTCTAGACCGGGAAGCAAGAGAAGGGGTCGGGAGAGGAGGGAGCGAGATGGGAAGGCAGTGCCACCTGAAGACTGGGAGGGTCTTACCCAGGAGGGGAAAGAAGCCTTCCCTGCTCAGCGGGATCATTTTCCTGTTGCTACTGCAGTTGCTACCTGTTTGCATTAACTAAAACAATGGCTGTATATTATCTCAGTGACTTGTGACAGGCGTCTCTCCAGGACTGCCTCTGAGGCTTCCCCTAGGGCTGAGGCTGCGAATGGTTGTGAAGTCTAAGCCGGAACTGGACTCTAATCTGGTCCCTGTCACTCACCAGTTCTCTGGGCCTGGTCAAGCTCCGTAATCGTACTGTAAAATGGCAGGAGCGATGGCTGCCTGGGGAGGTTGTTGAAACTTTGAAAATGATAGTGTGTGTATAGCACCTGACTCAGTGAAGGCTGAGCCTCCTCCTTCCCTTCCCCGACCTCATCTCCCCTTCTTTTTCTCCTGTCCTTGGAGCACACACTCACACTCCTGCTGCCTCGGAGGGTGGGTTGACAAACATTTTAAAAATCTGAGTTTTAAATAACAGAGAACCTATGCGGGTGCGGTGGCGCATGCCTCTAATTCTAGCGTTGGAGGGGCAGAAGCAGGCGGGCCTCCGTGGATCAGAGGCCAGCTTGGTTTACATAGCAAGTTTCAGGCTAGTCTGGGCTCCCTGGACAGAAAACCTCCTCGGACTTCTAAACAACTTCTAAACAAACAAGTTGCTGTAACTGCATTTGTCAGCTTACTATCAGAGGCAGACAACATGGCTGCAGTCACTCAGGCGGACAGCACTTCCTTGTGAAATACAGCACTCGCTATCTGTCTACCTACGCTTCGGCTGTCTGGAGGTGGGTGGAGGAATGTTGGTGTAGGAGGTGGTACCTCCTGTAAAACTGTGTGAGGATAATGAGCCGAGAGGGTACCACGATGGTGGATAAAGAGACGTCTCTCACAGTCTCTCTCTTTGTTGTTTGTTTGCTTGTTTTGCTCTTCCAAGTCAGGGTTCCTCTCTGTAGCCCTGTCCGTCCTGTCTGCAGACCCAGCTGGCCTCGAACTCACAGAGATCTGCCCTACTTCCTCCTCCCAAGTCCTGGGACTAAAGGTGTGTGCTACCACTGCCCGGCTTATATCTCTATCAGAGAATTTTTTTTTTTTGAGATCATAATGACATCATTTCTCTCCTACCCCTTCCTCCCTCTAACCCCTTCCATAGCCCCCTCCCTTGCTCTCATTGAAATTCCTGACCTCTTTTCTTCTTCATTATTGATCGACATAGTCCTAACTGCATGGATACCTGGTCTGTATAGTGTCGCTTGTGTGTGTTTTCAGAGCTGTCCCTCTGACAATGGATAACCAGTTGGTGTGCTCTCCCCCAGGGAAGACTATGTCCCCAGCTCCCAGCATTCCTTAGCTGTCTGTAGTTCTTTGTCCAGGGTGAGGCTTCATGGGCCCTTCCCCCAACCCCGCCCCTCATCACATCTGTTGGTATCATCCTTGTTCGGGTCATGTTTAGGCAACCATGTTGGTGAGACTTCGTGGGTGCAGCCTCTCCGACATTTCCAGGAGACCCAGTCTCACAGCAAATCCCGTTTCTCTGCCCAACTCTTCCACGGCGATCCCTGCGCCTTAGGCGCAGGAGTGATGTGGTAGTTGGGTCAGCTGGGACGGAGCTTCACAACTCCTCATTTTGATTAGCTGTGGTTTCGGTAAAGGTCTCTGTCTGGTGAAGGGAAGTTTCCTTGGTGAGGGGTGAGGTGTAGGAAGAGACGTATCTGGAATGTTGTTAGGGGTTACGCTGATTATGGTAATGATAACCATGGATCTTCTCCGAGGTCTGGCGTAGTTGGTTAGGTTTCCGATAGCAGGCACAATTTCTCTCTTTGTGAGTGGACTTTTTTTTTTTCCTTTCAGGTTTTTAAACTTGATCTTATGTGTATTGGTGTTTTGGCTGAATGTATGTGTATGTACCATGTGTGTGTCGGTCAGAGGAGGAGATCTGATCCCTGGAACTGGAGTTAGGGATGGGTGAGCCTCCTTGTAGGTGCTGAGAACTGAACCTGAGTCCTTCGAAAGAGCATGTGCTCGTAGGACAACGGAGGCATCTCCCTTGTCCCACAATTATTTATTCCAGAGGACAACTTGCGGGAGTCAGTTCTCTCCTTTTGTCCTGTGGATGAGTCTCAGGGAGGGAACTCCCAACTGTGAGGCTTCGTAGGAAGCACCTTTATCAAAAGAGGAGTCATCGTCTCCTCTTTTTTTCTTTTTCTTTTTTTTTTTTTTTAGAGAAAACAGGATCTCATGAACTCTAGGCTGGCCTCAAACTCACTAGCTGAAAATGACTTTGAATTCACTGACCCTCCCGCCTCTCTCTTCCAAGTAGGATTATAAGCACGAGTCACCACTCTTGGCTTGACAATCTTTTTTTTTTTTTTTTTTTCAAACAGGCATTTTGAGGACAAAAGTATCAGGTAGATCATAGGACATGGAAATACTTTCTTTGGATCCTGCCTGTGGGAGGCCATTATCCATCCTGGGAGCCCCACAGAGAGGTGAATGGACAGAGAGATTGGTCCCTAAAGTACAAGAGTATGTTACATTGTCGTCCTTGGCTTCTTTTCCCTAGGATGCAACTTAAATAAAAGATTTATTTATTTCTGTTTTGTATATGGGTGTTCTGTCTGAATGTGGATCTGCACACCAGAAGAGGGCATTGGATCCTGTTGGGTTGATAAATGGTTGTGAACCACCATGTGGGTGCTGGGATTTGAACTCAGGGCCTATGGAAGAGCAACAGCGAGTGCTTTTAACCACCACCAAGCCCTCAGGGGTGCAACTTTCTGAAAGTTTTATTTTGTTTATTTATTTCGTGAGTGTATGGGTGTGTGTGGAGTGTGCACATGAGAACAAGTATTCTCATGGTCCTCAGGAGCTGGAATTGTAGACAACACTGAGCCAGGGGATGTAGGCCATGGGAACTGAACCCTGGTCCTCTGCAAGGGCACTGTGAGCTCAACATTGCCAAGCCACCGTTCCAGCCCCGGTCTATCTTTCTTTAATTTTCGAAAGTCACCTTTTCCTTGTCTATGCGTGTGCCACAGAGGGTTGTGGAGGCAGAGAAAACATTTAGGAGTTGCTTCTCCCCTAACATTTGGGTCCCAGGCTGTCAGGCTCAGTGGCAAGCACCTCTGCTGGGGCAAGAGCTTCCCACTTTTTTTTTTTGAGACAGAGCCTTATGAATTCCATCCTGGCATCCAATTCCTTAGGAACCCAGAATGACCTTGAACTTTTTTGTTGTTGTTGTTGTTTAAGATTTATTTTTGTGTTTGTTTGTTTTCAAGATAGGGCTCCTCTGTGTGGCCTTGGCTATCTTGGAACTCATTGTGTAGACCAGGCTGGGTTTGAACTCAGAGATCTATCTACCTGCCTCTGCCTCCCGAGTTTTGGGATTAAAGGCGTGCACCTCCCCTCCCCCGCCAGATTGATTTTTATTATATGTGTGTGGTGTGTTGTTTACATCTATGTGTGTGCTACTCTCACAGGCCAGAAGAAGGCACCGGATCTCCCAGAACTGAAGTTATAGATGGTTGTGAGTAACCGTACGTGAGCTGGGAGCTGAACTCTTGTCTTCTGGAAGAGCAACTGGTGCTCTTAACTGCTGGGCCATCCGTCCAGCCTGGACATTAAACTTTTGAGAATAGGCTGCGGTATTTCTCTTTAATCTTTTCAACAATGGCGACTATCCTGGCAGGGTTTCTACTGCTGTGATGAAACTCCATGACCAAAAGCAAGTTGGGGAGGAAAGGGTTTACTTGGCTTACGCTTTCATATCACTGTTCATCATTGAAGGAAGTCAGGACAGGAACTTCAGCAGGGCTTGAGACCAAGGCAGAAGCTGATACAGAGGCCATGGAGGGGTGCTGCTTACTGGCTTGCTCCCCATGGCTTGTTCAGTCTGCTTTCTTACAAAACCTAGGGCCATCAGCCCAGGGATGACCCCACTCCCAATGTTCTGGGGCCTCCCCCATCAACCACTAATTAAGAAAATGTCCTATAGGCTTGCCTACTCCCCCACCTTATGAAAACATTTTATTAATTACATATATAGTGTTCTGCCTGCACACCAAAGGAGGGCACTAGATCTCATTATAGATGGTTGTGAGCCGCCATGTGGTTGCTGGGAATTGAACTCAGGACCTCTGGAAGAGCAACCTGTTCTCTTAACCTCTGAGCCATCTCCCCAGCCCCGAGAGTATTTTCTTAATTGAAGTTCCCTCCTCTCAGGTAACTTTAGCTTGTGTCAAGTTGGCCTAAAACTCCTAAACACAGTGACCACATTTCCTGAGTTAGAATTAAGGATGAGCATGTTGTCTCACACCTGTAATCCCAGTGTATGAAAGGTTGAGGCAGGAGGATTGCTGTGAGTTTGAGGTCAGCCTAAGTTACAGAGTGGAATCCTTTCTTTAAAAAAAAAAAAAAAAAAAAGAAAAAAGAAAGAAAGAAAGGATACACTGTATGTGGGGCACACCTCTATTCCCATAATGTGGGAGGCAGAGGCAGGCTGATCCCTGTGTATTGAGGCCAGTCTGGTCTATATAGTTAGAGGTCGGTGTTGGCTACACAGTGAGACCCCGTTTCAAAAACAAAAAGGGACTGGAGAGATGGTAAAGAGTTTCTGCTGCTTTTGTGGAGGACCTGGGTTTGATTCCTGGCCCAACCATGGTGGCTTACAACCATCTGTAATCCCAGTTCCAGGAGACCTAATGCTCTCTTCTGAATTCTGAGGCCACCAGCAATGTACACGGGGCACAGACATACATGCAGACCAACCAACCAACCAACCAACAAACAAAAAACAATAACCCTCCCCCCGACATAAAATAAATACATCTAAAAACCTCAAACAACAACAAACTATGAAGAACTCAAGCAGAACAGAACAATAAAAATATGGGTAGATTGACCTATCTGAATACTATTTAGTTTAATTAATTAATTTATTTTTGAGACAGGGTTTCACTATGTAGCACCTGGCTGGCTTGGAACTCACTATGTAGACCAGGCTGGCCTTGAATTCAGAGATCTGCCTTCCTCTGCCTCCTGAGTGCTGGGACTTAATTGCATGCTAAAGGCACGTGATACTGTATATCTGAATAGTCTTCAGGAGACAAAGATAATTTGGAATTTGTGATGAGCTGCAAAATCCAGTAATGAATGTGTTATTTCTGCAAAATATGGTAAGGTTCTTGGACACCATAATCAGACTTGTTGTGAGTGTATTAATACGTGAATGTGCGCTGGTGAGCTGGCCTAAAAGGGTAAAAGCACTTGCCCTCAAGGCTGTTTGAGCCACTGGAGTTTGAGCCCCAGGACCAATGTGGTGAAAGGTGAGAAAAGACCTCTGACCTCCATACATGGATGCACATACACACACAGACTAAATGCATGAGCAAAAAAATAAACACATTAGCAGCCATGACTGAATGACTTCTAAAAGGTTCTCAAAGTGTCTAAAGAAGAAATACTGCCTAAACTCAAGACATCTGAAATTCCTAGCATTAAAGTCACCGCCGGGACTAAGACAGGAAAAAGGCTCAGGCTAGAAAGCCATGCGTGCAGTTCAGGAGACCCACACCTGCTGTTTTGACCAGGCTGAAAGATCATGAGACGCCACTTTATATGGGGAGAGAGAGTCCCAGGGACAAGTGTTTCCGTCATGTAAGAGGGTTTTGGGGAGGCCTGGCCACACCAGAATGGGGCCAACACGGAGAAGCCTTGGTGGGGAGACTTGGAGGAGAGGAAATGGGGTTGCAAAAAGGTGATGTGAGGTTCAGAGGACTGTCTGCCTGTGCTTTTGGGATAACGAAGGGTGACAAGAGGGAGAAATGGAGAGGAGGTTCAGTCCCACCCAAACGTTAATCCAAAAATGTCGAACAGGTGAAGTGACTTGTCTGCGGGTACACAGCTGCTCTGTGGCTGCCTGCCCTCAGCTCAGCATCTGCCATCCTGGCATAGAGCCTCTGAGGAGGGCAAGCTTCCAGCCTGTGTGCAGCAAGGACAGCCACAAGCGGGAGCGTTGATGCCAGGCCAGGACGTGCGGTGGAGAGGCCTGGGCCTCCGTGTCCCGGGTGAAGGGCGGTGTGCTGCTGTCCACCCACCTCCTCCCCACAGGTGCCAGCGTTGTCTGCAGAGCTGGAATGATGGCGTCCCTAGAGCGGCTCCCCGGGGGCTGCCCAGAAAGGAGGGGCAGAAGCAAGCTCTAGGCCTAGTCCCATCAACTTTCCAAAATACCATGAGGGCCCTGGCTGTCCTGGAACTTGCTGTGTAGACCAGGATGGCCTAGAATTCAAAGAGATCTGCCACCCTTTGCCTCCTGAGTGCTGTGATTAAACACATGCACCACCATGACCAGCCAATGTGTGTGTGTATATATATAATGTGTATATATATAAAAGACACTTGCTGCCAACCTTAATCCAAGTTAGATCCCTGAGACCCACATGGCGGACAAAAAGAATCAACTCCTGCAAGTTTTCTGACGTCCACACATGTGCTGTGGTATGTGCTCACACACGCACGCACATACACAGAGTGACTTTAACTCCATCTTTTTTCTAGTCCTGGCCCAATATTTGTCTTTATGTTCCTCCCAGCAATTACCCTCTCAGGTGCTTCTGCCAGGCTCCTTGGACCCTCTGGGGCTCTCACCACTGTGTATAAAGCCTTTCCTGCCAGGCTTTGGGTATCACCCCCATCTTTGCCTTCCTGGACTCAGCGTGGTGCTGTTCCCTGGCCTACGTCTCACTGTCTGCAGGGTCTCAGGCTGGCACACAGAGTGGGAGCTCAGCAACCCCTCGGGACTCCACAGAAGGGACAAGGGAGAGTTGCTGGAAGGCACAGGCTCTGGATCTTCTATCTGTATCCCGGGCCTGCTGGAAGGTGGCAGTCAAGGCTCTCAGGAATGCAGTCCTGGAAAGAACCTGGACTAAACAAAAATGCCCACTGGCCAAGTCAGAAGACATTTGATTCAGTGAAGTTTAAATTCATTTAAAAATTTATTACATGAAAAGAAAACACTCCACAGAACAAACCAATGAAATTTAAAACCTAAATGAACTCAGTGACAGATTATTAAGGTTTAGCGCTGCCCCCAAACCACCGTACATTAAAAAAAAATCCAAAAGAAATAGAAATACCAGCTTCAAAAATAGTTATCCAAAAAGTAAGGCATCCACTTAAAAAAAAATTCACGGAAGGGGTGGGCATGGGCTGGAGGAATGAGAGTCAAGGGATGGAGGGATGGTCCCTGGTGCCCTGAGGCCCCACAGCCTGCCTGGACTGTATTTTGAGGGGCCAAACCCAGCCTCTCACTAGTCAGGGGTTCGGTGGGAAGCTGGGAGACCTGATTCAGCCTGGAAAAGGCCCCTGGTTATTCCAGTTTGAGTAGGTGAACCGGGGAGTTGGCGTCTTGCTTTGTGATCAGAGGATCCTGGACTTAGCACAGCAGGTGCGGGAGGCTGCCGGGACACTGTTGCCTTCCTGTGGAGAGCAGGCCAGCAGCTCTCCCGGAGGCAGCTTGCTGAGGTCTCCAAAAGGAGCGGCATTCTGTCCCTGCCCTTCCATCTTGTCCCAAATGGGATGGCAAGATGGTGGTGGGGTCACTTGAGCTGAGGAAGGGGAGGGGAACTGGCCTTCAGAGAACATTCTCCATCCCCACAGCACGGTCTCCCCACAGTGAGGGAGGAGTACCTCTGGGAAGGGGGAAGCACCCTTCCTTCCAGGGAAGGCATTTAACGCTAGGTCTGTCCTGAAGGTTAGAAATAGGGAGCAATTTTAGGCCCAGTTCTAGGATGGGAGATGACTTAAGGCTCGTTTGACTCTAATTTCAGGCCAGAAGGACTTGGGGATCCTTCCTACCTGGTCCTTGAGCCAAGGTCCAGGGGAGAAAAAGGATGAGGGTGGCCGGCAGTGCTGTGGATGGGAAGAGCTGCTGAGAGGGCCGCTGCTTGTTCACACGGGGGGGGGGGGGGGAGCTGTGTCTCTTTGCCCTTAAGAGAGAGATGTCTATTAGACTGAACAGAAGTCTTTCTGGCTTCAAGAAGCTTTGGCACCACAAGGGGGCAGGGGCAGGGCAGGGCAGGGCTTGGCTTCTGCAGGCTGAGCCTTCCCTGTATATTCCACAAGCCTGGCTTAGAGCTGGGGGTGTGAGGGGGGGAGTGGGGGAGTAGAAGGTTTCAGAAGATGGACAGTCCTCCTTCTTGGTCCTTAGCTCAGTGGGGAGGAGGTATGGACTTCCTGGGTGGGGGTGACGGGGTGGGGTGGGGTGAGGTAGGAGATGGGGTAGAGGCCGGGCAGTGGAGTGGAGGTGGGACAGGGTGGAGAAGGTGGAGGGAAGTGAACCCTCTGCCTCTGGGTCCCTGGTGAAGGAAGAGGCATTTGAGTTTCTCCAGCTGACACATTTGTCTGCTCTGTCTTTCCCAACTAACTCACTGTGGCTGCTACCTCTTTCCCAGCTGAAGCTTCACCTGGGCTAGGAAATAGGGAGAAAAAAACAGCAGTGAACCCAGGTTTCTTAGCGGCACCTAAAGGGTGTGAGCCCAGGAGGAAGGGCCCCATAGGGTACCCATGGTACCTCCACTTTCCTCTAGCCCATAGGGTGTGTACAGGCCCTGGTGCACTGACCTTGACCTTGGGCCTTGGTATTGGAAGCAGGTTCTTTGGGTACAAAGGTCAGCATCTTTGTTTAGAACTTTTCACCATGGACACCCAGGTCTTGTCCCTGCCTGACAGAAGTATAGATGTGGGTGTGTGGGTGTGTTGGGAGGTCCTAGGCAGGGAAGCAGGGCAGAGAGGATGAAGGAGGGTGTGGTCAGTTAAAGGGATGGCAGTCTTCAGGGCCGGGACTGCTCCTCTGAGTCCTGGGACTCGGCAGGAGTAGGCCGGAAGATGGGCTTCTGTTGTTCCTCCATTTCGTTCATTGTCTCTTCTGTCTCTGAGTCCCTCTCCTGGGGATACACCACCACGCACATCTTCTGACTCCCTAGGGTTAGCAGCTCTGTGGAAGGAACAACACGGAAGCCAGGTCAGTGTTTAGTGTGCTGCCGGCCCCACCAGTCAGGCCCTGCCCTGGCCAGCTCCTCCATCCCAGCTATTACCTGCCAATAGCTTTTGGAGCACAGCTCGTCCTTGTCCTACCTTATCTGATGGCTGCCTCTTGTTCACCGTGGCTCTAGCCTTTCATTCTCTCCATGCCCACTGACTGTCTGCCCTCATCTCCAGCTTCTATACTGGGTCTCAAGACAACCTGGAGTGGCTCCTGAGAGCTAGCCAGTAGGTTGCCTAAGGTCTGTGTGGGGATGCCAGCTGGTCGTCTCTCCCCGGAGCCCTGTGGACTCAGGTGAAGGAGAACCCTGGCTTCCTGATTCTGGTAAAGCTCCCCAGTCAAACTGCTCTGTGCCTTCCCAAGAGGTCCTCTCTCTAGCCACCACTTACCAATGAAGTCATTGAAACACTTGGGCTTGTGTTGCCAGTAGACACCCAGGAAGTAGACCGGTACTCCCGTCAGCATGATGGCCAGGCCAATGCCACACACCACTGGCTCCGACCACAGGCTGAAGATCAGCAGGAAGGCCCAGAACAGCAAGTAGATGATGGGGAACATCAGGTTGATCTGTGGAACATCAGTGCTGTGAGTTAGGTGGCTCTTAGTGTCCTCTTTACCCTCATCCCCGATGGCAATGGCTGAGCCGCGTTCAGCTCTGTGCCCCAGGCCCTTAGAGGTGCTACATCAACAGATGTGGGTGAAATTGGGCAGTGGGACAGGGAAGCAAAGATCTTTATTGTTCATGTCCCTCCCAGGTGCGGTCGTATAAGACCTCATGACTCATGTCAGTGCCTGTGGCAGCAGGGAAGACAGGGGGATCGAGGATCTGGCTAGGATGTTAATGAATACTTGCAGAGGTCCTTGGGAGGAGAGGCAGGAAGGCAAATGACCCGGAGGTGTTTGGACTCCTGTCTCCACACCCACTTCCAGGCCAGGCCTCATCTGGATGCACCACGGCTCTGCTCAGCACTCACTTTATTTACTTTTAGATAGCATCAGCCTCAATTTATTTCTCCCAAGCAGTTGGAGAAGAAAAAACTGCTTAGGCTCAGGAGACCAGGAAAGCCAACAGGACACAAGGCAGGCTAGGGCTGGGCTGTATTTTGTTCAGAAGGAAACACCAGTTCCACAGGCTCGATCTCCTGCCGGCCATGTGTGCCCGGATACCTTAGATGGTCTTCCTGATCAGGGGCAGCTGTTTTGCTGCCTACTTCCCTGTGTGCTCCGGCTTCTTTCCTCCCCACCAGGAAGTTTTTTAGGACTGGGAGAAAAGTAGCCATGAAAATGCCCAGTGGGGAACTGACAGATCTTGGAGAATCTTTCTTTCTCAGCAGGAACAATCTAAAAGTGTCTTGTCTGTGTTTCTAGATCAGGATTCTCAAGTAGCTTTAGGCTCTACCCAGTTGCAAGAGAACTCAGTACTCCAGTATAACTTGTTCTGAGAAATCTAAGAACAGACAATGCCAGGCTTTTTTGTTTGTTTGTTGAGTTCACTGAGGCTCCTACTGTGTTAGTGTTGGGAGTTTGAAAAGAAAGGAGTGCAGACACAGATTGGAAAGCTTCATGGAAGAGGAAATACTTTGAGACTCTTTTGGCCAGTGGTTAGAATTTCTATAAGCAGATGGAAAGAGACTCATTTTCGGATAGAGGCATAGTATAGTGAAGCCAGATGTTGGAGGAACAGGGCAGATAAGAGAACCTTGAACACTACCCAGAGTGTAAGATTAAGAGTGAAGAAAGGGGCTGGGGGCAGTGGCATACTGTATCCCAGCACTCAGGGAGGCAGAGGCAGGCAGATCTCTGTGAAGCTAGCCTGGTCTACAAAGCGAATCCAGGACAGCCAAGGCTACACAGGGAAACCCTGTCTCGAAAAAAAAAAAAAGAAAATAAATAAGTAATAAACAAAGAAAAGATTTAGAGTAAAGAAAGGAAATGAACACCCCACCCACCCACGGCAAGAGCCACTCGAGTCAATCTGCACTGCAGCTGGTGAAGGGGCTGCCGGGCGGATCCTCTCACCTTGATAGGGCGGGGCATGTCAGGCTTCTTCCAGCGGAGGACTATCTGGCCGGCGACTGTGACCCCGTAGAAGAGGTAGTTGATGAAGCCCACGTAGTTGATGAGGGTGTACATGTCACTGGTGACCAGCATCAGCAGGGTGGAGAGGCACTGGAGACGGGGAGGCAAAGAAGGCACTGGAGGGGATGGTCACAGGTCGGGGGCTGCTCTCCCCCACCGCCAGCCGGGTGTGCTGTTTTCTAGTGGACATCTCAAGAGGGGGACTCACAGCCACTTTCTGTAGCCCAGGATGGCCTATGCCTTTACTGCAGGACCTTCCTTCTGGCTTTTTGAGACAAGGTCTCTCTATGTAGGTTCTGGCTGTCCTGGAACTTGCTATGTGAACCAGGCTAACCGGAGGTTCACCTGCCCCTGCTGCTGGAGGGCTGGGATTAAAGGTGTGCACCATCATGTCTGGCTAAGAACTGCTTTCTTAGCATAGGAGTAAAATCAGGCTATGTAAGCACTGCTGTGGCGTGGGGAGTAATTAATTATTCAGAGTGGCCTGGCCTTGCTGGGATTAGCTGGCTCTGGGAAGCTCTCATGGCTCAAGCTAATATACTTCTTTTGGTTCTTTTGGCCTCTTAGGGAGATTGTGAACTGATAAATAAAAGCTTTGGTCTTATCGTCATTGTCTCACAGCTGTGAGATCTCATTTATTTTTCCCTTAAAAAAATGACTAAACAAGTCTGGCCCAGTGACACACGCCTGCGATCCCAGCACTTGGGGAGGCAGAGGCAGGCAGATCTCTGTGAGTTTGAGGCCAGCCTGGTCTACAAATTGAGACCAGAACAGCCAGGTATACACAGAGAATCCTTGTCTTGAAAAAAAAAAAACAAACAAACAAACAAACAAAAAAAAACAAATAAAAATCATCAACAAAATATGATTAAATACAAACACAATAAGGTTGTTTTCTTAGCTTTCTACAGATACAAACTCATTTAGGCCTCTAACATCGCTATGAGGTTTTCTCGATGGAAGTCACTTTCCAGCGTCCAAGTCGTCTCTGTGACTCTTTCGGAATCAACTGTGCCCTTCCACTCTGATAATCTTCGAAGGCCATTGGAACGCTTACTTCTCCCATGAGATGTGATGGTGACCAGATTTTGTAGGCGAACAGATCAGATTTTCACTGTATTTGCCTCCAGTCAGAGCTGAGGAAAAGCTGTGTGGCTCCTGGGAAACACTGTCTGCCCTCTTCCATTGCTTTCTGCGGCTACCCAATCTCAATGGCCTTCACGCTGCGTCTGAACACTCACGAATTCTCCCAGGGAGCTCCATTACCTTCACTTCTTCTGACCACCTCTCTTGGGGATCAAAGTAATTTTTGTTGTTGTTGTTTTGGGACAGAGTCTACTTAGTCCTGGTGGGTCTGGGACTTGCTATGTAACTGGCTTTAAACTCAGAAATCTGCCTGCCTCTGCTTCCTGAGAGCTGGGATTAAAGGTGTGCGCCACCATGTTTGTAATGTCTTGTTCATGATTCAGAAGGAAAATAAAGTGAATTCAAAAAAACTTCACGAGGGCAAGTCTTTGCTCCTTAACTCTTCGTATTTATGGTGGTGAGCCTTTAACAGCTGAGACCTCTCTCCAGCCCTCTTTTAACTCTTTACATCAGCGGTTCTCAGCCTTCCCATTGCTGTGACCCTTTAATACAGTTCTTCCTGCTGTGGTGACCCCCCAACCGTAAAATTATTTTGCTGTTACCTTATAACTGTGATTTTGCTACTGTTATGAACTGTAATGTAAATATGATATATGATATTTAGAATATCTAATATGAGACCCCTGTGGGGGTCATAGCCCACAGGTTGAGAACCACTGATCTAAAAGTTTCTGCTTTTTTTTTTTTTGCCCCATTCTTCCTTATTCAAAGTTGCCTTTTTCCCAGCTTCAGATTTATGAGTTTTCCTCTGTGTTTCTTATCAGGTGTACCCTGAACTAGATTTACTCTGATGGCTTTGTCCAAGAGGCTGACAGGGTACCCTAGGGCAGGAAGTAGGGAGAGGGTGAGCACGTGCAGTGACTGGCTACAGCACAGGTTCAGAGCTGTACCCTGGCAGCAGGTGCCAGTAAGTCCAGGGGTAGAGACACATTTTTGTGAGGCTTCGGCATCCCACGTCTTTTCAGTCTGACCCAATAGGACGGGAGGATAAAAATGAGCCAGCCTGAGAGTTGTGGGCGGTTTTAGACTCCGGATCTTCCCTAATTAGATCCCTCACAAAGCCAATGGCAACATGTGCTAGCTTAGCTAGGGCCTGCTGAAATGCAGAACTAGACCGGAAACGTGATGGCTAGGTATGCACAGACAGTCTGACTCCCAACCAAGACTAGAGGATCCATGCACGGCCAGGAGCAGCGGCAGCGGCAGCGGCAGCCCTTACCGTGAAGAGCAATGCTGGGATTGGGGTGCAGCGTTTCACGTGGATCATAGCCAACACACTGGGAAGGTGGCCTTCTCTGGCTCCAGCAAAGAAGAGCCTGGCAGGGAGAAAGGGTGGTCAGCCTGGGACAGCCTGTGGACCACCAAGCCAAAGCTCTCTCATCCATGCCCAGCTTTGGCCCACACAGCAGCACCCAGCACCAGCCAGGAGCCTGCCTTTGTGTGCACACTTCCCAGCTCTGTGTTCTCAAGGGCAGGCACAGTCAGACCAGAGGCAGCCAGTGGAGAGGAGGACAGATGCCAGACATGGAGACAGTGTGATCTGGCAGGCCCAGGGCGCTGTACTGTCCCTCCGAATCACTCCTCGCCTACAAGGCTACATGAGCAGCTCCTCTGCCCTTAATTTTTATTTTTGGTTCTTGGAGACACAGTCCCACGCGGCCTACATGACCCTAAACTTCGCTGTAGCCAAGACAGGCCTTGAATTTCTGATCCTCCTGCCTCCACTACCTGAATACTGGAATTATGGTCTGTCCCACTGCCTGGCTGCGTTTCTCCTTTAATTAAGAACCTTCTTGTCCTTAGGAGTTACTGATTCGCTGGCACACAGCTCTGAGCCACCTGTGCAATGCTTTAAAACATTCTCATCATATTCAGGGTGGGGCTACCTCTTTAGAATAGAGAGGGGTCATGGCTGGAAAAAGACAGGCGGGAGCCCCTGAGAGACACTAAAAGGTTCTGGGGGGTCATTTCTTGGGCGTCCATAGCTGTCACGACTTATCACTTAAAAGTTGTGCATTTTACTGTAGATTCAGTGCATCTAATAAAACTACACATTCTATTCCCAGGAAGCCTTCCAAAACAAAACAAAACAAGATGACCCCCTCCCCCCCAAATCTAACGGAGAAGTGCTGAAAGGTACTAGCATAGAGAGCCAAGCTGCAAACGTTCTGAATGCTTAAAATGATGAGATTGGGTGAAGAAATTAGGATATATCTGTGAGACAGAAAATTATGAAATAAAAAAAATGTATTCATTTTTATTTCGTGTGTAGGGGTGTTTGCCTGAATGTATGTCTGCGCACCGTGTGCCAGCTGTGTCAGCTGAGGCCAGAAGGAGGAGTCGGATTGTTGCACATGGTTGAGCCGCCGTGTGGGTGCTGGGGGTTGAATCTGGGCCATCTCTCCAGCCCTCAGAAATCATGTTTCTGAAGAAAATGATTATTTGAGAACGCTGACGATAGCACGTCCAACAAAAATGCAGAACACAGAATTGTGACCCTGAGCTAGGCATGGGGGCACACGCTTGTGACGCCAGAGCACCGAGCCCGAGGGAGGGCATTTCTCTTTGAGGCCAGCCTTATAGGAGACCCTGTCTCACAGATGGGGAGAGCGCTGGAGGGCTGGCTCACTGATTAAGAGCATTTATCGCTCTTGCAGAGAACCTGGGTTCAATTCCCAGCATCCACAAGGCGGATAACGACCATTTACGATTCCAGTTTCAGGGGGACCTGACACCCTCTCCTGACTCAGGGGGCACCAGGCATACTCATGGTATACAGACATACAGGGAGGCAAAAGTCACATACGTAAAAAGTGACTTTACAAAGTCTAAACACTGGGGGGATGATACACTCTCAGGAGGGAAGGAGATGGTGGGGAAGACAGAGAGAGACTCACAGACGCACAGAGAGACTAACACTCTAAACAGCCCCTTCCCTCTTTTCTCTTTATGCCTCTCTCAAACAAAACCGAAAGCCGAAACAACCCACTGCCAACAAAACCACAATCCTGTAGCTGCCAGCAGCCCTTTACATGTTAGTGTTAGCAGTCTGTTTTCCTTACAAGGATTCAATCAATTAGTGTGTATGTTATTTATGACACACTCGTGGAGTCAAAACGACAACTTGTGGGGGTCAGTTCTGCCCTTCCCCCATGTGAGTCAGGTCCCCCGGATCCAAACTGGGATCACCAGACTTGACAGCAGTGCCTTTACCCGAGAGCCACCCTCCTTTTCTTCTCCTCCGGGGGCAAGTGGCTCCTGATGAGTCTGAGCGTGGTGACAGTGTTAAAGTACACCAGCTCTTGCTATCTGAGGCCACAGCTGGCCTGGAAGTCTTGGCCTTCATGCTTTAGGCTTCTGCGGGCTGAGCTGGGAGGTGTGTGCTGCACCCGGTACAGACTATGGAGTCAGAGAACTGCCACTCCATGCCTGGGGTACAGGGGAGAAGGATGGCAGCAGCAGCCGCTGCTCAGAAGTGCGAGGGCTGCCTGCGACTCCAGCTCCCACAGGCAGCTGTCACCATGGGAACTGCTCAGGCCAGCTTCCCTGATTTCATGCAGACACATGCAGCCCCTCTGTTCTTCCATGCTCCGGTCCTTTCCGCATGCACAAGATGGAGCCTAGGTGGCTCTGCGGGCTTCATCATGCATGTGACCAGGCTCTCATTCACATCCTCCTCCACAGACAGCCAGGGCCAGGTATAACTGTCCAGGTCCAACTGCCCCACGTCAGGGTCACAAGAAACAGTCTCAGCTAGGGGTAGGGGACACACACACACACACACACACACACACACACACACACACACGCTTGCTCAGCAAGGACCATCTGATTCAAACTTTGGGACATAAAAGAATGAAAGAGAAGGGGGGAGAAAAAGGGAGGGGAGAAAGTAGTAGGTGAGCAGAGGTGGCCTGGGAGGGGAGGCCACGCCCCTGGCATCTCCTGCATGCACACGTGACTATGCTACATGCGTGCAGACCACTGTGTGGCCTGCCTGAGGGACGAACCCCAAACTAAAGCGACTGTGGCCAGCCACTGTCCTCCAACAGATCCCAGGGAGCCTCACGGGTCACTGCTCTTCCGCCATCTGCTAGGGCCTCCAGGTGGCCGCGGCTCCTGTGTAACATGCACATGAGGTTGCTGCAGGTGAGGGTGTGCCCCCTCGGCGCAGGTGCTACCCATACTTCCTCTCCATTGCTCTGGGCCCAAAAACATGGCAGTCTCTACTATCTCGTAGGAATTTCTCTGGGATGCGTCAGGTGGCTTGAGAAACAGCGGGGCCCAGACTCATCTCTGCAGAGAGCCATGCATCTAGGGCCCAGAAACCCCATGGGCCACACACATGCTAACCCTTTCACGTCCGGACATCCAGAGGTCCACTCTGGAGATGGCAGGAAGGGGCATAAAGGAGGGGCCTGATCCCTAGATGGATAGGGGGTAAGGCTTCAGGGCCCACTCATGTTTCTGGCTTCCCCAAAAGTTCTGGGTTGGGGTTGTGGCTCCTGGCCATTGCACTGACAAACATTTCCTTACTGCTCTTCCCTACTCCAGCCCTGCGGCCTCCCACAGCACCTGCCTCTTGAGTAGGGAGCAGGCCTGCCTCCCTAGGACACTCAGAGGGAGCTCACGCCATGTCAAGTCCCACTCCAGACATTCATGAGAGGCCAGACCCAGGGGCTTCAGGCACAGGGATCCTTCCTGGTTCCTATCAAAGCAGCGTTTCTTTCTGGCCAGTCCAAATCCAGAAAGGGAGACTCTAGGAATGTAGCTGAGATTCTATCCTGCTGCCAGCCATAGCTCTGTCTCTTCCAAAGTGAGGTGGGCTTCTGCCTCAGAACACCTCAGCACCCATACTAGCATGCATACTCCCGCAAAGGAGGTTGCACAGACCTCCACTGACAGACGAGTCCAACAAATACACACAGCGCAGTGCACACAGAAAAGTGGTCAGGGCAAGCACTCACCGGGAGGAGGTGAAGAGAGAGCCATTGACTCCTCCAAATGTGGACAGGGCAACAGAAATGGGCATGATCCAGGCCATGACTCCTAGGAGCTTCTCGCCGAAAGTCTGGGAGGGAAAACAGGAGATGAGTGGAGAGAAGGAGGAAAAGCCCCTATTCCAGCCTGCTCCTCACTTCTGGAGGGCCCATCTCCCGTCCTCCCTGCCGATTCTCTCTGGCTGACTCGGGAGCCCAGGCTACCATGCCACAGGGGCAGCTGCACATCAGAATACACACCGTGGGTCAACTAGCTGAGGGGCTAGTGGATGGAGATGATAACAGGAATGAACTCACACTTATCCTTCTTCAAGAACGAGGAAACCGAGGCACTCAGTGATCTATAGCTTACCAGAGACTGTACGCTGGGGGAAACGGAGGGATCGTGATTGCAGGCCAGGCGCTGTAAGCACCTGTGCACACTACAGCGTCTCCAGAAACGGAGAGCCACAGACTCATGAGTCACATTCAAACCCTACTCCCACCTTCAGCAAGGTCTGTCTTATCTATCTATCTATCCATCCATCCATCCATCCGACTATCTGAGCTATTCTCTCTCAGCCCTGGGTTTGCTATTTTTGAGCTTTATACACTAGGAATGAAACCTTGTACAGTTGCTGAATACACAGAAGCAGATAATGTTTGTAGGAAAATAAGGCTATTTCTTTTTCTTTCTTTCCTTCATTCCATTCTCTCTTTTTCTTTCTTTTTTTCTTTTTTCCTTCCTTCCTTCTTTCCTTCCTTCCTTTCTCTCCCTCTCTTTTTTTCTTTGTGTAGTCCTGGCTGTCCTGGAACTCACTAAACTCACTATCTAGGCCAGGCTGGCCTCAAACTCAGAGATCTGCCTGCCTCTGCCTCCAGCATGTCCCACCACAGCCTGGCAAGACTGACTGGTTATTTCTTTAGCTGAGAAAGAAGTGGTTGTGAATTTGTAGCTGAGGCTTCACGCGCACATCCATGTGTACGTGCAGTGTAGGAGACCAGCCTTTCCTAGAGTCTCGGAGGCAGGCTTACCGCAAGAGCCCGGGGAAGCGGTGTCTAGACTAGGTGTCCCGCTGTGCGTGGGCGGCTGCTGGCTGTAGGAGGAGGTGGCCGCAGGTGACGGCAGGGACAGTGTTTGTTCTGAAGCTAGGTGAAGGTACAGCATGGCTCCTCATCCTCCTTCAGATAGCAGGCACTCTGTGATCTCTTGCCCAAAGAGCACAAATCACTCCAGTTTCTGATTTACTTACTGGAGTGTGTGTGTGGGTTGTGACTGTGTGGTTGCATGTGTGTGAGAGAGAGAGAGTGTGTGAGAGTGTGTGTGTACACGAGTGTGCCAGCGCGTCTGTGTGTGTGAGTGGTGTCTGTGTATGTGTGTGCGCCTACACATGTGAGTGTGTATGTATATGCATGTGTGTGAGTTTGTGAATGTGTGAGTGTGTGCTGCTGGGGATGGAACATGGCCTTGCACTCTGCTACTGGATTACATCCTTGGCCCTTTAATACCCAGTCCTTCTGGATGAGAGCAATCAGCTTGTATGAGTGTGCTTGATTCCCAGGGGAAGAAAGAACAGGATGGGTGTGTTTTGTAGAAGCATATGTCTCTGTGAAGAGCAGCTCATCTTCTTACATAGTATTCACACTCAGAGTGCTCCAGACCGGGAGTCAGTGAACTTGTCCCATCAAACATTAGATGTCTTACTACTAAAGGCCATATGGACTCTGTGGAACTTCTCAGGTAGCCGAGGTGGCCCTTCTGGAAACACCCCAGCCATCAGTTTGCTCCTGGGCACTTGAGACACCCTGCTGAGGATACGTTTGGATCCCACCCTGAGGATATAGGATGACATCCGAGAGGCACTGGCTCAGGGAAAAGCGAGTGGGCTAGGCAGACGGAGCTACGGCAGAGTTCTGGGTCGGGGACCCTGAGTGAGTTCTTACCACAGCGACTGCATTTGAGGCCAGCAGCTCCTGGGGGGACATTGCAGTGACATACGCGACATTGGCAAAGACATACACAAATGTGACCAGTGGGATGGAGATGAAGATGGCTCTAGGAAGGTTCCTGTAGAGGGAGAGGAGGTGAGAGGGAAGCCTGGACCAGGCATGTGCTCTGCTAAGGGGCCAGTTTCTGACTCGGGTGGGGCAGGATAATGGAGAGGAAACAGGGGCACAGCTTAGGCTAGACATCTGCTTCACACCTGCTTATCACTTCCTGACTCAGATGTGGACCATGCACCCTTTCTGTTGTCTTAAGACTGGGCCTGGCCCCAAACAGATAAAAAGCCGAGCCCTCTCAGGACGGCCCCTTCTCTATGGCAGTCGGCAGTTGCACTGTCCTGCACAGCTTTCTGATTTTTAACTTGCCCTGGGACAGTGATAGGACCCTTTCTGGTCTCTTAGCAAGGCAGACAGCAAATGGTTCAAATTCCTGGGAAATGAACTGTGGCTTCATGGTTGACCAGGACATGTCCAGGATAGGGCCAAGAAGGGGCTCTATGGTTCTTCCTTCCAGCAATGGATACTGAGTGGGCTACGGGCAAACAGAAGAGCCGCACTCATTCGACTTACTTGTAGGGGTCCACAAGTTCCTCAGTCACATAGTTCAGAAAGTTCCAGCCACCATAGGCAAAGGAGCCCTGGAGGAAAGCCAGAGCAACGAGGCCGATGTCTGGCTCTTGGAAATTCTCAAATGCGTTCTCTGGCTCCAGCCAATAGAATTCTCCTGTGGGCACAACAGGCAGGAGGAGGCTCAGAGTCAGGATGAGCCTAGGCCCAGTGGCCCACCCCACGAATTGTCTCGCCCTCCCTTGCAGGGCTAGGCCAGCTCCTCGGTCTGCTCCTCAGTGAGCCCACGGTGGGAGAGGGGGGCTAAGAGGATTGCAGAAATGCAGATCACAGGAGCTCCCGGAACCATGAGTCTAAACAGGGCTTCGGGCTCAAGACACAACTGAGAGTGGGAGGTTCTTGTAGGTGGGGCGCCAGGGTCAGCAGCAGTCTGTCGACCAGCTCCCTCCGATACATATAATCCTCGTTTCGTGAGGAGAGCACCCAGAACCACCACCACTTTCACAGGCTCCGCTGTTCTGTAGTTCAAGTCCATTTTTGCCTGCCTCGCCAATAGCCCATCCCTTCCTAGAGGTTGGGCTGGAGAGATGGCTCACAGAGGCCCAGGGTTCCATTCCCAGCACCCACATGGTGGCTCACAACCAGCCTTCTGGCTTTACAGGCACCATGCCTGCACATGGCGCACATACATGGGGGGGGGGGGGGGAGACACTTACAAAATACATAAAGTAAAAATAAACCTACTTTTGTGTTTAAAGTTTCTGGGCTACCATGGCTTTGTAGTACAGTGCCTGTCCAGCATGTGCCAACCCGGGTGTGAATACACACACCCACGGCACACAGACCCACAGCTGCTGACTCAATCAGGCTGGGGTAAGACGGAGTAATAAGATATGCTATTAGGACACGGCAACCCAGCATTAGGACAGGAAATGAGGAGGTTTGTGTGAGCATGAGAGAGTTGAGACCAGGTTAGGAAGGATTCATTATCTCTTAAAAGATAGGACAGTGTTTCCTAAGCCTAAATTCCTGAAAACACTCTATCACCTCCCTCCTCCTCCCCGATGAAGGGCTTTAATCCTGCTGATTAGAACGATCAAGGGCAGTGCGGTATATAGTATGAACTGCTGATGGCAGGTTCTCTGCTCCGCCTTCAGAGCTTGTGGGCAGGCAGGAGGTGTTCCTGTTTATCATCTCATTTTCTCCAAGAGACAGTGAAGCTGTGAGGAGCCCAGCAGTGCTTCGGGTCCCATGGAAACCAAATACAGATGAAATCCAATGGGGAATGTTGGCAGAGGCCTCAAGAATGTAGAGCTCTTTCCCCCAGAGATTATGAGCAGTATTGAAATATATGAAATTCTCTTCTTCGGTTCTTCATTTTATGATATTAACGAAGAGCAACAGAAAAAAGGAATATCGTCCCCGGGGCTGTGGCAAAATAGCAACTGCGTACAGGGCTCCAGGGCCCTTGCTTGGCTATGTCAGTGCTGGGGCAAGCGTGGAGAGATGGGTCTTTTCGAGGCAGTACAAGGGAGTGGAGGTCCGGCACCCTAACCCCGAGGCAAACAGCCTCTCAGCCCAGCAAGTGAACAACAATCAGAGTCACATCTGGGAGATCTCAGGGTGGGTCCAAGGGAGGATGGGAAGCTGTGTGGGGTCCCGGGGTCCCCAAGTTGCTTACCTTTGCATATCTGCACGACACCCATGATGATGATGAGGGCCAGGGCCAGGAGCTTCCCAGCCGTGAAGATGTCTTGAACCCGGGTGGCCCATCGGACGCTGGAGCAGTTGACCCACGTGAGCAGCACTGAAATGACAACCCCAGAAGCTGTAGGATAGCCACTGCCCAGTAGCACCCCGGTTCTGCCTCCCAGCCTCACACCCACAGCCCCACTGACCAGAGATGTTGGCTCCATTAATAGGTTACAATGGGGATTACATGCCCCAAATTAGAGCTTGGTCAGAGCATTCATTCCTGGCCTAGGGCCAGCGGCCAGGAGTAGGCAGGGCAGTGTGGGCACTGACTCAGGAGCCTTATTCATGACCAGGGTACAGAGTGGACTTAGGATTCCAGTTATTATCTGTTCCTGGGGAGCCCTGAGTCACTAGTATAATCTTGGCTATTGCCTTCCTAAATCTGGTTCTGGGACAACAGAAGGCTAGAAACTTGTGACTTGGGTTTGTTTGTTTATCTTATATGAAAGATTTATTTGGGGAAAGGGAAACAGAAGAGTTAGGGACTATGTGGGCCATGAGGGCAGGGAAACAGAAGCAGAGAGAGACAGAGACAGACATGGGGGAGGGGGCGCCTCGATAGAGAGCAAAAGTATATTAAAAAAAAAAAAGTTTTTTTTTTTTTTTATAGGGATGGAGAGATGGCTCAGCAGTCAAGAGCGCCAGCTACTCTTCTGGAGGTCCTGAGTTCAATTCCCAGCAACCACACAGTGGCTCCCAACAATCTATAGTATGATCTGATGGCCTCTTCTGGCCTGCAGGTTTACATTCAGGTAAAAGCACTCATATACATGAAATAAATAAATAGATCTTTAAAAATGCTTTTTATACAATGTTCTGCCTGCATGTGAACCAGCACACTAAAAGAGGCACCAGATCTCACTATAGACAGTTATGAGCTACCCTGTGATTACTAGGAATTGAACTCAGGACCTTTGGAAGAACAGCCAGTGCTCTTAACCTCCAAGCCATCTCTTCAGCCCATAACTTGGGTTTATTAAAGTATACAATTCAAGCCGGGTGGTGGTGGCACAGGCCTGTAGTCCCAGCACTAGGGAAGCAGAGGCAGGCTGATCTTCGAGAGTTTGAGACCACCCTGGTCTACAGAGTGAGTTCCAGGACAGCCAAGACTACACAGAGAAACCCCGTCTCAAAAAACCAAAGGGGAAGAAAAAGTATGAAATTCACGTTAAAGCAACTAGCAACAACAACAACAAGCCTTTTGTCTTCCTGCTCAGCCTCCCCTTGAAGTGTCTGAATTACAGGCTAGGGCCACCATGTCCACGTCAAGGTTTACCTTTTTAAAGAGTACATTTTGATGAGACTTGGCAAATTAATTTTTTTTTTTTGAGACAGGGTTTCTCTGTGTAGCCTTGGCTGTCCTGCACTCACTTTGTAGACCAGGCTGGCTTCAAACTCACATAGATCCACCTGTGTCTGCCTCCCCGAGTGCTGGGATTACAGGCATGAGCCACTGTGCCTGGCTGGCAAAGAATTGTTAATTATTACCATACTCAATATTTCCAACATTCTAAAAATGTGCCTCTTTGTTTTGCTCCTTCATACTCATGAATCCTCTACCCCTGTTACTGGTAACCACTAATTTGATTTCTGTTCCTCTAGTTGTATCTTTTTCAAAATGTCACACCAATGGAATTATAGAGATCATGGGCCTTTTTGGATCTGACTTCTCACACCAAACATAATGCTGAGACCTACTCATTTTGTTATATATTAACAGATTGTTTTCATTGATAGTTACTATTTATTCCATTATATAGACACAAGCATCCTTTTCCTATTCAGTACTACCAGTTTGGGGTTAATATATATCTAAAGCTACTTACAGTAAATCCTAGTATGGAGGCCAGGCCTGTAATCCCAACAGGAGACGAAGCAGAAGATTTGCTGAAAGGTCAAGGTCAGCTGGGGTCACAGGAGTTCCAGGCTAGTCTAGACTATGGTATGACACCCTATCAATGAACCAATCCCTCCAAGACCAACAAACTTTCCAACAACTGGACGTGGTGGTATATATCCTTTTCTTTTTAAATGTAGAAGAATACAGTTTTAACCAAACAGAAAGGTAAACTAAAATCATCCTTCTGCCTAAAAATTAGAAAACAGTAGACAAACTGCTGAAACAGGCAGTTTCTCCATTCTGTGATGAAAATGTTCAACATGAAGACAGATGTCAGAGAGTTGTAAGAGGTAGATAAAAAGCCCCAAATGTGTCAAGGTTGTCCTTTTTCTTCAAAACACCACTAGCAATTACAGTTAAAGGGGTTAAAAATCATTATTGACAGCTTTTTTGTTTTTGTTTTTGTTTTTTTGAGACAGGGTTTCTCTGTGTAGCCTTGGCTGTCCTGGACTCACTTTGTAGACCAGGCTGTCCTCGAACTCACAGGGATCTGCCTGACTCTGCCTTCCCGAGTGCTGGGATCACAGGTGTCTGCCACCGTGACTGGCTATTGACAGCATTTCTGAAATGTGGCTTTTCTCATTGCCAGTGACACCCCTGAAAAAGAGTGCCCCTAAGAAGATAGTGTGCTATGGGGTAAACAGGTTTTAAAGTTTCTGGAAGATCCGAGTTTTTCACTGTAGTTTCTCCCTCAACTCCTAGATAAGGGAAAATTATGTCATTCTGGCCCTGGCTTCTCATGAAGATTTAGGGGATCATACTTACCTGGGGACCTGCTCTGAACAAAAGGGGTACCCATCATTTGGAGAGAGGGTGGGGAATGGTTTCTCTGAGCCCCCTCCTTCATGTCCATCACACCGGGAAGAGGGAGGTCCCCAGGAAAGCCAGCTAGCCTTTGGAGCTCAGGTGGCCCAGTCTTAGTCCTAGCAGCTGTGAAAGGGCAGGGACACTGCAAGCTCATCAAACAGCAAGACATTTGCCTCTAAATCCTTGTTAATATTATCATGTTTAAATTTGCATGTGTTTGTATGTGTGTGTCTATGTGTACACATGCTACCAGTGTGTGTGTGTCCTGGGAGACCAGATGAGGCATTTGGGTCGAGAGTTCTAGGTGGTAAGTTAACTTGGGTGCTCTGGAAGAGAAGCAAGGGCCCTTAACTGCTGAGCCAATTTTTTAGCCCTTACATCTTATTTATTTATTAATTAAAAAGAAAAACCTTTATTTTAGTCAGGTGTGGTGATGGATGTCTTTAATCCCAACATCTGGGAAGCAGAGGCAAAGGAAGAACCTCTGAGTTCAAGGCTAGCCTAGTCTGCATAAGGCTGTTCCAGGCCAGCCAAGGCTATGTAGTGAGACTTCGTCTCAAAAACAAAACAAAACAAACCCCCACCCTTTATTTTATTACTATTGTATGTGTGGGAGGGGATCACATGTCATGGTGCCATGTGTGGAGGTCAGAGGACAACTCTCAGGACCAGTCTGTCCTTCTGCCATTACACAAATTCTGAGGATTGACCTTAGTCATCAGGTTTGTGGAGCAAGCGCTGAACTGAACCATCTCTTGAGCAACCTCAGCATCCCTCTAGGTCTTTGAGTTTTTATTTCTTGTGGGTAAATAAGCTAGGGCTCTGGTCATATGGTAAATGCACATTTAATTTTAGAAGCTGTTTAGCTCAGTGTGAGGGTATGCACCTTTAATCTCAGCACCCAGGAGGCAGAGGCAGGTGGCTGGCTGTGAGTTCAAGGCCAGCCTGGTCTACAAAGGCCAGGGCAGCCAGGGCTACATAGTGTAGCCCTATCTCAAAAAACCAAAATGGGAAGGAAGGAAGAAGGAAGGAAGGAAGGAAAGCAGTTGTATGTTTTCCAATAATAAATGACAGCAAGTTTTCAGGTGCCTTCAGGTGCCTGATGGCCAGCAACTTGTCTATGTTCATTGGTGGCCTGGAGCACAGATGGTGGTGCCTACAGCTCTGCTTCCTCACCTGGGGGTCACAGCACTTCCAACAATGTGGAACCTTCCGTGCTGGCCAAGTGTGCAAAGGCCAAATGCTAGGAAGGTGGGCACTCGGTTTTATTGTTGCACTGTCTAGGCAACTCTCAGGAGCTACGGCTTGCAAAAGCATGTTGTTTTACTTCATTTTTGTTTGTTTCTGTTTTTAGACTAGAACTCACTATGTAGATCAGGCTATCCTTGAATTGACAGATAGATACCTGCCTGCCTCTTCCTCCAGAGTGATGGGATCGATGGTGTGTACAATGGTGCCTAGCAAAACCATGAATTTTAACTTCCTGGTTGTTACAAAGTACTTGAGAACAAAGCGAAGTACTTCTCCTGGCTTTCCTTTTCCTGAAAGAGTCATCAGGATATTCTCTAGTGCTCAAGTTTCACACAACACTGTAAAAGCATTGTCTCTGGCTTTCATGCCTCCCGTGGACTCTGGCTTCCCTTGAATGGCTAAGTTACAGCAACGCCTTCTCCTTAAATGGACTGCTCTTTTCCAAGTGCTTCCCGACCTTGCTGGATACAGGGGACATGTCAGCAGGACAGGAAGGCCCTGTAGTACTGGCTATTGGTCATCTTCTCTCCTGCATTGTTCTGAGCTGTCAAACTCCTTTCCAGACCTACCTGTCCCATAAAGCTTTGTACTTTTATTGATTCCCAGCAACGCGCCTGCAAGGTAAGCTGTATAATCACATTTTATAGACACGGTACAAAGTTTGTCCTTCCTGGATAGAACAATTCCAGACCATTTTACTTATATCTCATTGTGTTACCTGTTCGTATTAATATTATCTGAGGCAGGGGGACTGCTCTGAGTTCAAGACCACCCTCGAGTACATATCAAGTACTCAATTAGCCAGGGCTACACATTAAAATTCGTATGTACATATGTATGTATATATACTGAACATACATAAATATAAATTTTCTGTTTCTCTTTTTCTCTTTTTTTAAAAAAATCTTTTTCATGTCTTTAACTCTCAAGCATACCATTGGTACCTACAAATAGCAGATGTACAACAAATATTTAATAAAGGGAAGAGCCATAATCCATTAGTTCTCCTGTCTCACTCTTCATTCCACACTGCATGCCATTCTCTCCTGTTCCTTAGAATTTCATTGATCGTGGAAACCTCCATTAATTGTGGT